GCGGCAGCAGCTGGAGCGGCACCAGCAGCAGCAGCAGCAGCATGCGGGCATGGCCGGCTAGCACTGGCAGTGCCAGCCGAGGCACAGCGAGGCTGGCACAGCGACTGCCTGCCGCGATGCTGCTCCCCCTTCAACATTTCATTTCATTGGATGCCTCTGTGCATGCCCATCTCCCGTCCCACAGACAACTCGCAAGGCGCCACACCTTGGTGCCCGAATAGAGGCACTGCTGTGGGAAAGGAGGCAAACGCAAGACTGGAGGAGAACGGCAGGCCCAAGGCACGTCGGGCGAGCAGCGAGGTGCGAGGGGAGGCGAGGAGGCACTGATCAAGCAGTGGGTCTGGGCGCTGGTGGCGATCACATTGGTCATTGCAAGAGCGCATGCAGCGCCGCAGACACGTAAGGTCTTCAGCAGCATGGGCCCTGCCCAGCACCACAGGTGTGCGCAGTGGGTGCGCAGCGCGGCGGGGCCACCACTCAGGGCGGCCTCAGGCTCCGGCGGCAGGCCAGAGGCTCCGGCGCAAGGCCGGTGTGCTGCCGGAGTCAGGTGTGCCCCTTCCATGCGCTGTGTGCACCCACCACTAATGACATGTCAGTTACAAAGTGAGCTGGCGCATCGAGGCGTGACCCATTGTCGCACGCTAGCGTTAGTTCCGTACAGGCAAAGTGGCCGGAAACAGGCCCGCTGGCATTGCGACTAGAAAAGAACAGAGTTAACATGGACATTAAAAGAACGGCATTGTGGAGAGGGAGGTATTCCAATGGGGCACTGGAGCTGCGGCAGGACGACCAGGCGCACCCGTGTGCCAGGCCTGGGGCTGGGCAATGGGCAGTCTGACAATACTGCCTAGCGGCAGTCGGCCACCAGAGGTGTCAGGGGCCGAGTCGTCAAGTGCTGCCACACAGCAGCGGAAAAGATGGAAAAGATTGAGCAAGGGTACGACCTGCCCTTGCTTGCTTGTGTGGGCTTAAAGTCTGGTAAAGCAAGAACTAGCTTGCAACATAGACTCCCCGCCGAAACGGGACGGGAACCGGGCGAAAGCAGAGAAAGCAATAAAACAGGGGTGGAGCAAGGCGACATGCAACGCAAGCAGCTGACAGGGCACGCATCGAAACGTGTGTATGACTGGCCCACGAATGCATGCTGATGAAAGGGGCTTGCAAGGTTCTGCCAGACAGCGTGCATGGCAAAGTCGCCGGCAAGGGGCTGGGTGCCGCGCAAGGGGTGCACCTCGTGCCACCTTGCTGGGAGCTGGTTGAAATGGGGCAGGGCAACGGGGTCGAACGGCACGCAAGGCGACGCCGTCGCGCGCAGGCAGTCGCGCGCGATCGGGGCACAATTCGTGCATTCTGGGTTCAACATACCGACCGCGGTGCGTGGGGCCGCACGGGGGCCGCCGCCGCCGCCGCCGCGCTCACTCCGCGCGGCGCTTCTTCTTGAGCAGCTTGCGCACCGGGAACTCCTCGAAGTTGTTGATGACGTTGGCCTGGGTGGTGACGTTGTCCTCGCAGTCGAGCCACTTCTGGAAGTAGGTGGCGTTGGAGAGAAGGCAGGCGTCCAAGCCCTCGGACGCGGCCGTGAAGTTGGCCTCGCACACGCTCAGCGAGCCGTCGCACGTCTGCCAGGCGTCGAAGTAGGTGGCATTGGTTTCCTGGCACTTGAGCAGGCTGTCCTCTATGAGGTCAGTAGAGTTGAGGCACGCGGCCAGCGCGGTCTTGTTGGTGTTGAGGTTGGCGGTGCACGCGGTCAGCGCGGTGCGGTTGGTGGCGAGGTTGGCGGTGCAGGCGGCCAGCGCGGTGCGGTTGGTGGCCAGGGTGGCGTTGAAGAAGTCGCGCTGCGCTGTGCAGGTGTTGAGCGTGGTGTTGAGGGCGGTCTGCGCGTCGCCGCAGTCGTCCAGGGCGGCTTCACATGCATCCAGATCTTTGGCCGTCTGGGTGCAGTTCTCGCTGAGCTTGATAAGTTCCTGCAGCGGCAAACAGGCGGTGCGCGCGCAGCAAGAGGGCGTGTCGGGAGGCGAGGCGGCGCTGCTGAGCACGGCGCGGCGCGGGCGGCAGCACTCGCGGCATGAGGTGTCGTCGCCGCCGCTCACCCGCTCTGCCTTGGTGACCTCAGCGTGGAAAGCGTTGGCGGTAAGCAGGGTCCTCTTCGTTGCCAGCGACTTGGTGCGCAGCGCCTGCGGTGGATCCAGCGGAGGCAAGGCGCGGCGGGCTCAGCCTTGCCTGGCGCTCAGGCGCCGGGCGTGCCGGCATGGGCCGGGCAGGCGGCGTGGCAGGCAGGCGGCGTGGCAGGCAGGCGGCGTGCACGTCCCGGCGGCGGCGCGCGGGCGGGGCCAGCCTCACAATCTCGCAGTTGGTGAACAGGGTGCGGCTGGTGGCGGTGAGGTTCTTGGTGTTGCAGCTCTGGGTGGTGACGTTGGTGAGGCGCTCTGTGATGTCAGAGTTCTCCGCAGTCAGACGCAGCGCCTCCTCCGCCAGCCCCTGAAGTAGGCACGGCCGGAGGCAGGAGAGGGGGCGGGTCGGGGGGCGGCCGGGGAGACGCGGGCGGCGGTGCCCCTGCTGGCGGGCCCGGCTGCGGCTGGCTGGGCGAGGCCCCGCATGCACGGGCTAAAACAGTGCAGCTGGCAGGAGCCAGAGGCAGGGCCGCGCAGCTCACACCTGCTCGGCAACAGTGACCAGCGTCTCCACGCCGTCCTTGTCTGCCCAGTCTGTGGTGCGGATCTCCTGCACGCAGCAAGGGTGCGGCACCGCAGCAGGGCAGGGCAGGGGTCGGCTGGGGAGGGGAAGGGGCACGCGGCGCCGTGAGCAGAGGGCCGGCAAAGCGACGAGGGCAGCACAGGCTCTCAGCGGGCAGCTCTGGGCACGGTGGCGCCACCCGGTGCTCACCGTCTCGCATTTGGTGGTGGTGGCTGCGTTGAAGTTCTTCTGGATGCAGCTCTGGTTCTGCATGGCGGCCAGGGTGGACAGCAGCTCCTGCAAGAGGGGACCAGGTGGGGCGCGCTTGCGGCATGTTGCGGGGTCGCGACAGGAGGCACCCATGGGTATGTGTGCTCTTGCTGGTGCAACCCGCATGCAGCCAAACGCGCAGCAGCCAAACGCGCAGCAGCCATGCATGCGGGCGGGCCCATATGGCTGCTCACCGTCTCGGCCAGGGTCCGGGTGGCAGTGCGCACAGCAGTCGGGGTCAGCTTGAGCTTGTCCGCCTGTTTCGTGAGCTTGAGTGCCTGCAAGCACCGGGTAAGGGAGCCCAGGCGCGCCGGGGGAGTTGAGGCCAGGTGCGCAGCGGGAGCTGGGGGGAGCGTGCGCTTTGCTGCACAGCAGACGGGTGCGGCCGACGCGCCCAGGCGCTGCTCTGCTGCTCTGCTGCAGCCGCTGCGCGCGGCGCCGCCGCCGCTCAGCTCACAATCTCGCAGTCGGTGCGCAGGGATGCGTTGGTCTGGGTGGTGCCGACAAACTTCTGGTTGCAGGGCGTGTTGACCAGCTGGTCCACCTGGGTCGCCAGCTTGTTCTTGTCGCTGGTCGCCGCATCAAGCTTGGCCTTGGTGTCGGTCAGAGTGGTGTTGAGGGTCTGCGGGGCACACGGGCAGGGCGGAGGGTTCGCGGCGTTTGGGGCAGGGAGCGATGGGACCACGCAGCTGGGGCGGGCTGGCCTGGTGGGCCAAAGCAAAGGGTGCCCCATCGGGCGGGGATGGTCCGGAGGCAGGGGCGCAGGAGGGGCTGCGGGCGCCGCATGCGCCTGTGCAGCCGGCCAGCAGCGGCGCCGCTCACCCCCTCGCAGGTCGTCCTGGTGGCGGTGGTCTTGAGTGTGCAAGCCGTGCCTTTAAAGGACTGCGGCAAAGGGGTGAAGGGCAGGTGCGGCGTGTCGAGATGGACGGGCAGCGGCGGCAAGGGGATGGGCGGGGTGGGAGCTCCAGGGCGACGAGCCGACTGGGCGTGGCAGGCAGCAAGCATGCAGGCGGACAGGCGGGCAGGCAGGCAGCCCATGCCCACTCAGCAGGCTGGCAGTCTCCCTCAGCAGCCCGCCACCCGGCACAATCCACATCCCCACGCTGCCCTGCCCTGCCCACCTTCTCACAAACCGTCTGCTCAGCAGCACGAGTCAACTTGCCGGTGCAGGTTCTGGTGCGCAGATTCTGCAAATGGCGGGCAGCATAAGTAGCGGGAAATGATTGCTGGAGGTGGTGTGACGGGCTGCAAGTGGGGTGTGAAGGGCATGCGCAGTGCGTGGCGGTGGGCTGCACCATGCTTGCTTGTGTGGGCTTAAAGTCTGGTAAAGCAAGAACTAGCTTGCAACATAGACTCCCCGCCGAAACGGGACGGGAACCGGGCGAAAGCAGAGAAAGCAATAAAACAGGGGTGGAGCAAGGCGACATGCAACGCAAGCAGCTGACAGGGCACGCATCGAAACGTGTGTATGACTGGCAAAGTGGCATGGCGCATTGGGGAGAAACGCAACGGTACGGGAGCATGGGCTGGCCAAACGGCAGTGCGGAACGCTAGGTCACTAGAAAAGCAGGGAAAGGCGCACTATGTATGCAATGAGGGCAGCCCCGGCTCGGGGCCGTTGAGAAAGCAGTGGGCGGGAGGGGGGAGGCCCCGGTGTGGGCGGGCCCCATCGAGGGGGGATGGGGCGCGCAAGCGGCCAGATGGGGCGGGGCGCGGGCGGCAGTGGAGTCCTGCGGCTGGGTGGGATATAGGGCAATGAGCGTTGAGCAGTGTGCGATGAGCAATGAGCAATGAGCAGTGAGCAGCCCCTCCCTAAACAAAGTGAAGCGCAGGACGGGGTCCGGTGGATGGGAGGCAAGGAAACGCGGGGGGTTGCCACGTGCGCTACCGCCGCCGCCGCAGGCAGCACCCCTGCGGCGGCGGCAGCGGCAGCAAGCCGTGGACCCAAACGCCGTGCCGCCGCCGCCGCAGGCAGCACCCCTGC